GACAGGACACGGATCCTGTGACTCCACTGCGATTGTGGGTGTTTGTGTTTGTGAGACCCGCTTTGTGTATCTGTCCCAAGGTCGTGTGACTTTCTTGGTGTGCCCACAGTGTGTGTCTCTGATGGCTGCCGATTGTGTACACCCTTAGAGTGGGTTCTTGTGTGTGTCGGTGGCTAGCTGAGGAGTCTGTCCTGTCCCCTGTCACTGTGTGTGTGCCCATCTTTTGTGTATGTATCCATCCTTGGTGTGCTTGTTATATACCCTGACTGTTTTTCCCTCGTGCCTTGGTGCGACTCTCTGTTATGTGTCTGTATCTAATTAGCTCTGTGTATCTGTGATTGTGTGTCTGTCTGCATGGTCTGTGTGTCTTGGTTTGCATGATTGTGCATCTTCCCAGTGAGGACTTTTAACCCCCTTGGGGTACTGAGGATTGTCTAAGTTTTGAGACAAGTTCTCACTAAGTTTGCAAAGTCATCCAGATGGGACTCCCGACTTTCTGTCCTCCTGCCTCGGCCTCCCAGAATGCTGGGATTACATGCCTGCATGAGGGGATCTTTTGTGTCCCCACGTTTAGCTGTGAATCTCAGGTGGCTGCCACGATAGGAGTGCTGGAGAGTCCCCTCCTGGTGGTGGCACCTCTGGGCTTCCCTTTCCAGAGCAGCCTGGCTGGTTTCCCAGCAACAAATGGTTCCCCCTGGAGGGGTCCTGCCCCCCTTCTTCTGCCTCGTTTATCCAGGAAACACCGTTTCCTGCCTTTGATGTCACTGGTGGCGAATTTTCCCTTCTTCCAGACACTTGTGATCATGGTTTCTTTCTGCGTTTGTGTGTGTGTGTGTGCAGACTTGACCACGATTCTATGCTTAGTGTTAAAAGCAAAAAACCAAACGTGTGGAAAATGCTGGCAAGGCAAAATCAAGTACAGTAAAAGCCACATCTGTGCTTTACCCGACTCCCCTCAACGTTTGCATATCTCCAGAAGTATTTTATACAAACAGATCTCCGTGCCGAAACAAAACCCTGTGTTTTCTAGACAGCATCCCGCACCTTCCTGCTCTCTGAGCCGCCACAGATTACTATCGAGGCCCAGAAAGTGAGTCAGCCCTCTCTCCCCTTGATAAGCCAACTGATGCTAACAAAAACAATCTGACCATTTCCTTTCTGAGCACCTCTGAGGACATTTGCTTTTGGAATGCTTTTGCCGCAGATGCTCCCTGCTTGTCTGTCTGTCTGTCTGGATACTGGCGCTGGGTTTTGAACCTGGGGGGGCGGGTTTGGTGACAATATCAGGCCTCACATGCAGTCACCTGGGGCCACCAGATCCCTCAGCCCACTGGGAGCAGTGGTGGTTACTCCTACAAGCACTGACCTGGCTCCCTGATTCTGCAGTCGTGCAAGGTGGTCTCTGGTATTAGTCCCATTTCATAGATGAGGAAACTGAGGCTCTGAGAGGTGAGGGACTTTGCTCAACCTCATACAACCAGCAAGAGGAAGGGCCTGGGCTTGACGCTATGCTGTCCCTCATAACGCATTCAGGCACACAGTGTCATGCTGGAAATAACCCCAGAGCAGCCGAGTGTACATCCAACTGAAGTTTTTCTTCTTCAGTATTGGGGACTGAGTTCACTTGGAGATAGGGTCCTCTAAATTGTGAAGTTACCCTGCTTGGGTTTGAACTCACGGTCCTCAGGCCTCAGCCTCCCATGGTGGTGTTGGGATGACAGGTGTGTACCACCATTCTCGGCCTTCAGCATCTTAACTGCTTTGCACAGATGTACCTCCCAACTCACTGGAACCCTGGTGAGCATGCGTAACTCTCTGGGCCTGTGTTTTCTGGCCTGATATCAAGGAGACCTGGGGCCTGCTTGGGCTAGCTTGGAGGAGGCGAATCCTCTTTCGGGGTCTCCTTCCTCCCCAGTCACCCGCACATTCCTCTGTCTTTCCCTCGGAGCACCTATCTGATCCCTCTCGCTCTCTCCCTTGAGCTTGCTCAGCAAACTCCACTCCTCCGCTTTGCCTCTGCCCTGGGGGTGCTTGTGGTGAGTCTGGGGTCTCTGCTCCCCAGGGGGCTGAGGCAGGGAGATCCCTGCAGCTGGGGACTTCCAGGCCAGCCTGGATAACACAGTGAGTCCCTGTCTCAAAAAAAAAACAAAAAACAAAAAACAAAAAACAAAGGACAACAAAAAAAGAAAAGAAACAAACAAAAGTTAACCAGGGGTGGGACGCAGCAGAATGGTTTTGCTAGGAAAACTCCAGGCTCACTTCCTGCGCAGGGCGGGTGCCTGTTCAGGCGCCCAGAGGCAGGAGAGGGGCTCCCCGGCACTCAGCTGGGGCTTTCCCGTCCTCCCCTCCCTGCCCACCCCTCCTGGAGCCCCGGGCAGGGTGAGGGTGGAGATCCAGCCCTGCCCGCGTCAGGGCAGGAAAGCGCGGGCCCAGAGGTGCGATCCACCAGCGCGCCCGCCCGCCCGCCCGCCCGCCCGAGGTGAGACGTGAGAGCTCTCCACGAGGGCGGGCCTGCTCAGATGTCCCAACCACAGAGCGTCATGGTGTCCCCAGCGGGCGCCAGCTGGGAGGCCTCTTTCCCCTCGCTCCCGGGAGCGCATGAGTGCGCGGCGCCCAGCCTGCATGGCGCCCCTCTGAGCGGTGCTGCGACCCTGGGCGCTGCGGCTTCATTTCTGCACCTGTCCGGGGCAGTGGGCAGGGGCCGGCGGTCACCGGGACAGTGACCTGCCTGAGCTCCGCGCTGTGCCAGCCGGGCCCTGCCGCCAGGGGGCGCTGTGCTGGATGCCCGTTTCGTGGCCCTGGGATCAGCCCCAGGGGCTGTCACTGGTTCTACCTGAGTGCCACCCGGGCTTAGGCCTGAGGCCTTAGCCAGCCTCCTTTTCCTCCCTCTCTTCCTTCTTCCCATCAGCCATTCATGGTCTGTCCATCTCTCCATCCGTCCATCCGTCCATCCATCCATCCGTCCATCCGTCCATCCATCCATCCATCCATCCGTCCATCCGTCCATCCATCCATCCATCCATCCATCCATCTGTCCATTCAACTTTTCCCCTTCCCCCTCGTCTCTTCCTCTTTTCTCTTCTTAAAAGATGCAGGCCCACCATGTTGTAGGAACCACAGGGGCATGGGATGGTATTTTGGGGGGCTGGGAGGTGGCACCAGGGATTGAACTCGTGACCTTGTGCTTATTACCAGGCAAGCCTTCTGCCACCGTGCTAACTCCCCAGCACCACAGGTCCCCGGGAAGGAGGGAGATAAACATCCTCCTCGCGGGCTTACAGGTTATTGAGGAAAACGATTAAGCACATACACAGAGCGGCCCTTGGGGTGCGGACCGCCCGCAGCAGGCTGGGTGGGTGATGTCACCCTTCAGGCCTGCGGGGGAAGGCGGCTGTCACTTGAGAGCTTTTTGTAGTCCTCCAAGTTCCTCTTCCGTTAGTTCCCTTTGTCACTTGAGCAATCCTTCTGGTAGTGGCCGGGGCTGGAGGCCGGGGCAGGGTGTGGGCCAGGAGGGCTCGGGGACCCTGTGGTGTCCGGACTGTGACATTCACACATGAAGTGCCACTAAAATGTCGTTTCTCCGTAGCTCTGATTCAGCAGTTTTTACTACTAGCAAATCCTTCTGCTTTCCTGGTGTCTCGGGGATCGAGGAGGAAACCAGTTTGTCATCACCGCTGCTCTCTAGCTGTGGGTCAAGCCGTGGTTGCCTAACTGTCAAAGGGGTGGGGTTTGGGGACAGAGGGAAAGCACCCTGCACCTACACTCTGCCGGCCTGTCGGAGTCTGCAGGGAGCAGGACAAGATGGTGCATGCCTGTGATCCCTGCACTCGGGAGGCTGAGGCGGGAGGGCTGCCTGGAGTCTGAGGCCAGCCTGGGCTACATAGTCAGGAGATGGAGTCTCAAAAAAACCAAAACTCTGGCTACAGACCTAGGAGGGAGGCAGGCAGAGGCTTGGCAAGAGGGCAGGCCGAGGGGCGTGGAGTCCTGGTGTTTTTAGGGTTACTCAAACGCCTGATGACCGGATATCTGGCGGTGATTGTGGGGTTCTGGGGTCCCCGCTGGTGCTGGGCTAGAATTTGCATAGCTGTTCCCTGTGGCTGCTAGGTGTGGTTTGCTGCTAAAAATCACCAATAAAACCGGCTCCATCCAGCGAGGCTGGACACGGTGGCGGGTGGGTGGCCTCGAAAGACACGAATTGGCTGTCACCCACTTCCCTGACGCTGGGGGTCTGAGCCCCAGCATGGAACCAGAAGACCCCAGGGATGGGGTGCAGCCTCCCGCGGAGGAGAGGCTGGGGGGGAAAGGGCTGGGCAGTGTCCACCCCGCTGGCCTGGGCACGGAGGTTTGCCCAGCGCCGCTCACCTTTCACTTCCTCTTTCCTGGCCAGATTTCGGTCTCCCCGCGGCTTCTCCTCCCGCTCCGCCTCCACCTGGCAAGAACAAACGGGAAATTTGAGTTTCCTCCGACCCTTAGGTGTCTCTGGCTCTAGGGGGAATTTCTCCACGCGGATTTCCCAGGCTTCTGCTTGCAGGGTTCCCGAGGGGCTCCTGACCTGAAGCCTCCGGTAACTGGGTGGGGGTGGGGGGGGGCGCAGGAAAGGCCCAGGCCTCCTGGGAAAGGTGGGTCTGGACGGAGCGGGGTGCTGGGGTACGGTGGGGTCTGGGGGGGTGTCGAGTATGGCTCTTGAGGCCGGAGAGGGTGGCTGAGGCCCGGCTGTCCACGGAGTCTTCAGCCAAAGCGTTGCGGGAGGCTGAGGCAGGAGGGTCTCCAGTGGGCGCACAGACACCCGGCGGGCTCCCGGCTCAGAGAGGAGCTGGGGACAGCACCGTGTGACAGTCCTGGGCACCAGCAACCAACAAGGCAAACTCCCCGTTACTGGGATTTGGGGGTGGCAAGAGACAGGAGGAGAAAACCAGGAGGGGAGTTGGGGGGGGGCGGGAGACAGACAGACAGACAGACAGCGGGAGGGAGGGAGGCTGGGGAGGAACCGAGCATCCCAGGCTGCGGAGAAAGGACAGAGAAAGTTCCGGCGGTCACGGGACCAGGGACGGGGCGCCGGGATCCCCACGGGCGGTCCCCCAGCCTGGGGGCGGTGCCCGAGCCGGGGCGCGGCTTCCGGGGCGCATAAAAGGCGGGGAGCGCCCGGGCCGGCAGTCCGCCCTCGCCGTGCTCGCTGCCCGCCGGCCATGAGCTCGCGCCCCGACGTCGCCGCCGACCCCGAGGCCGCCTGGCCGCCCGCGCCCCGCTCCGGCCCCCGCCGCCTGCCCTGCGGGGTCCCCGGCACCCCGGCTGCGCTGCTGGCCACGCTCGTGCTGGGCGCGGCGGTCGGGGGGCTGCTGACCTGGGCGCTGCTGGCTCGGCCCGGCCTGGGGGGCGCGGGGGGCCCCCCCAGCACCCGGACGGGCTCCTCCGAGGTGAGCCGACTCCGGGGACCCCGAGGGACCCCGGACCAGGGGCTCCCAGGGCCGCAGAGGATGAGGGTCCCTGCTGCGCCTTAAGGGCGCCCCGATCCCCGGCACGCGGGGAGCCCTGGGCCCCCAACTTCCTTCCAGCTCCCAGGGATCTTCCTTTACCCCGGGGACTCGGGGCACCCCCTTCTTCCAAGGCCTCTGGGAACCCCCCATTCCTCTTCAGGTGGAGGCGGGGAACCCCCCTCCCGCGGTCCGAGCCGAGCGGTTTGCAGGGTGTGGGCAAGGGGGCCCCCTTCCCGGAGACCCGGATGCGGGGAGATGGGGTGCGGGGAGCCCCCATCCAGCGTCTTTCTCCCCCTCTTTCCAGGAGCCGCCAGAGCCGGGACTGACAGCCAGGTTGTTGGCGCAGAACGGTGAGCGACACCCCGGGACCCCCCACCCTCCGGGGACACCCCCCTCCCGGCCTCTCTGACGCCATCAGCCCCTTTCCCGGGGTTCGCTGAAGACCCCAGCCCAGAGCCCCGCACTAGGCCCCCTTCCCAGCAGTCTGTCTTTGCTTTTTAAATTCTGAGACAGAATCTCGCTAAATCTCTGTGTGGCCCAGGCTGAGCTCGGACTGGGGTCCTCCTGTCTCAGCCTCCCCGGGTGCTGGGGCGCGGCTTCTGTTTTGCTCTGGTCTTCTACCTTTCCCCCCTCTCCAGGTCTGTCTCCTCTCCCCCTCCCTCCCTCTCCTGCACCCCTTTCCTCTCCCTGTCTGTCTGTCTGTGTCTCTCTGTCTGTCCCCCTCCCTCTCTCTCTCTTGTACCTGATTGCATCCAGGGACTTGGCTGTGACCTGTGATACCCCAGCCCTTTATTCTTTATTTTTGGTACCTGGACCTGAACTCAGGACCTTGCACTTGCCAGGCAGGCACTTATGCCGCTCAGCTGTGTCCCCGGCCCCCAGTCCTTTAAAATTTTCTTTTCTAATTTTTTTATTGGTGCATGTTTGCAGTTCATAAGGGACAGTTACACTCAATGTGGGGCGTGCTCGGAAGGCATTTCTGTTCTGTTTTCCTCTCTAGGTCCTCCCGTTTGTTTGTAAAAGCTGTTTCACTGTTTTCTAGGTCCTTATTTGGACTCCGTTTATATTTTGGGCTTCTTGTGTGAGAGAAATTGTGTAATATTTAAGCTTTTGTGTCTGATTTATTTTACTTCCCACTGTAGTCTCTATACATCTGTCGTGCTACAGATACCTCGAGCTTAGCCTGCTTTCTGGCAGAGTGGTGCTCTCGGTATTAGGTCACGTTTCCTTTACCGTTCATCTGCTGAGGCCTGTAGACTGCTTCCAAGATGTTGCTCGTATGAATTGTGCGGCTGTAAACATCGGTGTGCTGTGTCCCTGTGCTGTGATGCTTCATCCACTCTTCGGGGAAGAGATGCAAGAGATGCATAACGGTGAAATGGAATTTCTGGTTTCAGTTCTTTTGAGGAATCTCCACGCTGATTTCCATGGTGGTTGTGCTAATGTACCTGCCCTCCAGCCATGCAGGGGAGTCCGTAGTCCAGCCAGAATTTTTCTTTTCTTTTCTTTTTTTTTTTTTTCTGTCGGTACCAGGGATCGAACTCACGACCGCCTGCTTGCAAGGCAGGCGCTTATGCTGCTGAGCTAAATCCCCAGCCCCTTTTTTTCTTTTTTTGAGACAGGGCCTCACTATGGAACCCAGGCAGGCCTTGGACTCGCACGATCCCCCTGCCTCAGCCTCCCCAGTGCTGGGATGCCTGGCATGTGTCACCACGCCCAGGCCTAATTCCTTGCTGCCAGCCTTTGTTTCTGGCAGGAAATGGAATCTCTGTTACTTCCATTTGGGTTTCTCTAGTGGCCAGAGATGTGGAAGATTTTAAAAATGCATCTATTGATCTTTTGTGCTTCAGAGAAGCGTCTGTGTATCTCAGTTCCTCCTTTTTTGGGGTGGGTCTCCTTATTTTGGGCCGGTCTCCTATTTTTGAGTTCTTCATGTATTCTAGATATGAGTCCTGTCTCTGAGGAGTCGCTGGCTGAAATTCCCCTCGCTTTGTGGGTGGTCTCCTCACTCTGAGTTCGCTGTGCAAAAGCCTTTTAGTGTCACAGGATCTATTTCCCTCTCTGTGTTATTTCTCTTGCAGCTGGGGCTCACTTCGGGAAGCCCTGGCCTACCCTTCTGTCTCCAAGACTTTTGCAGATGAAGTGTTTGGTTTAATATTGAGATCTTCGGTCCATTTTACTTTTATTTTGGTGGATCTGCCTGGGCCTTCTGCTTGTGTGTGGTGGGTTTTCGCAGCACCCTCTGCTTTTAGGAGGCCATCTTTCCTCTCCTGCATGTTATTTACCCCTTTGCTACATATCAGGCAGCTGAATGTGAGTGGGGTCAGTTCTGCATCATCTACTCCCTTCCAGAAATCCATGTCTGTTTTTTGTCAGTACCCTGCTGTTTTCTTTTTGAATCGCTGTAGTTTTGTAACCTAATTGTTTTTTTTTTTTGAGACAGGGTCTTACCACGTAGTGCAGCCTGGCCTTGAACCACTGCGTAGCCCAGGCTGGCTTTGAACTGGCAGCGATCCTCCTGCCTCAGCCTCCCGAGTGCTGGCATGACAGGCGTGAGCCACCGTGCTTGGCTCTCATCTAATGTGAAATCCAGGATTATATTGCCTCCTGCTTTGCTCCTGTTACCCAGGATTGCTTTTTGTGTGTTGAATCTCTTCTGGTTCACTATAAAGTTTAGGGTCATTTTTTTCTAGTTCTTTGAGGAATCTTGTTGTTATTTTGATTGGGGTTGCATTAAGTCTGTGTACCAGTTTTGGAAGTGTAGCCATTTTGACCTATCCAAGAACAAAGAATCTCTCTGTCTCTCTCTCTCTCTCTCTCTCTCTGTACTGGGGATTGAACTCACGACCTTGTGCTTGCCAGACAGGTGCTTAAAGTGCTGAGCTAAATCTTCAGCCCAGCTTTCTCTTTTTCAGAGGACTGTGGTTTTCATTGTAGAGGGCTTGCCCTTCTTTGGGAAGGTTAATTCCTAAGTATTTAATTTTTCATGAAACTATTGTCAGTGATATTGTTTTCCTTGTTTCTTTAAGAGGTTCATTATTGGTACGTGGGGATGCTATTAATTTTTGGCTGTTTACTTTCTGTCCTGCTACCTTGCTGAATTTCTTAGTTCTTCAGTGGAATTGTTAGGGGTCTTTTATGTAAAGGGTCATGGCATACTCTGACTTATTTCTTTGTGTACTTATTTTGTTTGCTTCTCCTGCCTGATTACTCTGGCTTAAATTCAATTTTACTATGTGTGGTGGTGCATGTATGTGATCCCAGCACTCTCAGAAGGCTGAGGCAGGAGGGTTACTGTAAATTCAAGCCCAGCCTGAACTACATAGTGAGGCTTTGTTTCAAAGACAAACAAACCACCAACCAATCAAGCAAAAACAAACAAAAACAGTTCAATTACTACACTGAATAGCAGTGGTGATAGTGATTATGTTTGTTTTATCCCTGGTTTTAGAGAAGTTGCCAGTTTTTTTTCATTTTCTATAGTGCTAGAAATGTTTGTCATAAATGGCTTTTATCCCATTAAGATAAAGTGCTTCTATTTTCTCAGATTAAGATAAAGTTCTATTTTCTTCAGGTTTATTTGATTTTATTATTTTTTGAGACAGGGTCTCTCTGTGCAGTTCAGGCCAGCCTTGACCTCTCAGTGATCCTCCTGCCTCAGCCTCCTGAGGGGTGATATTACAGGTGTGTGTCGTGACCACGTCTGAGCTCTTCAGGGTTTTTATCACGAGTGGCTGTTGCATTTTGTCAAGGGCATTTTCTGCATCTCTTGAGACGGTGTGATTCTTGTCCTTGATTCTGTTTACTGTCACAGTACATGTATTGATTTGCACGGGTCGAACCATCCTTGCATTCCTGGGACGAAACCTGCTTGGTCTCGAACTATGATCTTGTTGATGATTTGTTGCATTCTGTTTGCCTGTATCTTGCTGAGGATTTTTGCATTTATGCTCATTAGAGAGTGTCCTGTAATGCCATTTTTTTCAGTTGAGTCTTCATCTTTTTTTTTTAACACATACTTTTATTCGTTTTAATTTTTTTTTTATCGGTACCAGGGATCGAACTCATGACTGCCTGCTTGCAAGGCAGGCACTTATGCCGCTGAGCTAAATCCCCAGCCCCGAGTCTTCATCTGTTTCTATACGCCCAGCACTTTAAAAATCAATGAAAACTTTTTTTGTGAGGTCAGGTCTTGCTGGTTACTAAATTGCTCAGGCTTGGTGCAGATTTGCGATCCTTTGGCTTCAGCCTCTCAGGGTGCCGGGGTTACAGGCCTGCCAGAGTGCCCCTCCCCCAGGGCACCCCTCCCAACGCCCACCCCTCCTGTTGACCCGATTCTTTCTTTCCTAAATCTTCTTTCTCTTCCTCTGCATCCGATGGATCGCTTGCCTTTTCCAGGCCCTCCTCTGAGTGTCCCTCCCTGACTGCCTGCCCTCTCCCCCTCTCTGCCCAGTCCCCTTGGGCTCTGCCTTCTTCCTTTCCTCTGCTCCCCTTCCCATTCAGTACCCACTTCCCACCCGCCTTTCGCCTTTCCCCGTGGAGGAGCCGGGACACAGTCATACAGCGTTGCCCAGGCTGAGCCTGAACTTCAGATTCTCCTGCCTCAGCCTTCTAGAGTGCCCCGCCCCTTTTGGTGACTTTGTAACCTACTTTGTAGGCTTCAGGTGTCTCCCGTCACCTGTCATCACCAGGCTTTCCTTTCTGATGGCTTCCTGCTCACCCACGTCCTTCCTGTCTGTCCCCTCCTGGCCCCTCTGATGTGTCCCCTCTGCTCCTGCTGAGAGCCAGACGACCCGGGCACCCTCAGCATCTCCCTTCTTCTCTCCCTCCTGCAGCGATCCTGAAAAACGGGACCCTGAGCTGGCACAGCGAACACGGGATGGCAGGCGTGCACCTGTCCCCTGGCGTGACCTACGACGAGCCCAGGCGAGAGCTGGTGGTGGCGAAGGCCGGATTCTACAAGGTCTGCTTACACCTGCAGCTGACACATGTGCTGCCAGCTGCCCGGATCTCCGGCAAAGTCTCAATGGCCCTGCACTTGGAGCCGCCACAGACTGGGGCCAGCGTCCAAGCTCCGGCCGTGGACCTGACGCCCCAGTCCTCCGTCTCAGCGCAAGCTTCCCACTGCCACCTACTGCAGGTGCCCAAGGACCAGCGACTCAGTGTCCACCTCGGCGTCTACCTGTCCGCTCAGTGGGGTGAGCACCAGGTCTGGCAGCTGGCCCAGTCTCCCCCTGCCACCAAGTTAGAACTCTTCCGAGTGGCCGCTGAAGTCCCAGACTGACTCCCCGTGATGCCCGTCACGGGTACTGCCCACCTGCACACGGGTGCCTCCTGTTCTTCTTTGCTTGTGCCCGTGGTGCTAGGACAGGGCGCTCTACCTCATGAGCCGGGCAGGGGTCCAGCGGTGCTGACCTCTCCTCCCCAGGACTCTGCCCACTCCCAAGTATTTATTCTGGGCCCGTGCTCAGAAAGCACACTTTATATGGATACTTTGTAATGCACTGCTATTTATTGAGCACTTACGGTGTGCCAGTCAGGTGCTAGAGAACCACTGGAAAAACATGGATCCCAAATAGAAGGTTTTATTTATGTTAATATATATGAGAACTATATGCCCCTACCCCATGGTGCATCTAGATTTTGCATTAAACGTGCATCTACCTAGTGAGCAGAATTTGTTCACCTGAGAGTCGTCCTTGTCGCTGTTCCCTGAGGGTTTACTGATGGCGGGTCAACGCTGCCTCCTCCTGGTTCCTTTTGTCCGACTTTCACTGTGCTAACGTGGAACCCGCATATTAAGCAGATGCTGCACCACTGCTAAGCTACACCTCCGGTTTAGTCTCGTGGTGCAGGGGGAGGAGCCGAGGCCTTTGCCCTGAGCTCCGTCCTCAGCCCTTTGCATGTGTGAGCCAGGATGTTGCACAGTCACTCAACTGCCAGGTGGGGCAGGAACTTGGGACCCTGCTGCCTCAGCCTCCCAAGCACGGGGGCCACAGGTGTGTGCACCACACCGCCTGGCTTTTAGCAATTCTTTTCGCACTCCTCAATCCGTCCTGCCACGTAGGTGCCTAAAATTCGCCGTGACAGTATGGAGAATGAAATTTGTTGGCGGGGCGTGGTGAGAGTTGTCCGCAGTTGTCTGGAGATGGTTGTCGAGTGTGTTCTCTACGTCACTGTTAGTTATTTTCCTGGACACCATGACAACTTTCCACTGTGGAAAGTCTGTGAGTTGCATTTCACCGTTTCCTCGGAGGCCCTTGAGGTTGAGCCCCTGGTCGGAAACACCTATAGCCGTTCTGGGTCGGCTGACGTCACTCTGGTGATCCTGCAATGAGTAGGAGTTTATGGGAGGGGAATCCTGAGGGCTGAGCTCGGGGCGTGATGCCGTGGAGCTGTGGGAGGCGTGGACATAGCCTAGAAAATCCAGGAAGCCTGCTGAGTGTTACCCCTCGATTACCTGACTCCGCTGGCTGCTGCATCAAGTTGAAACGCGGGGTGCTCCCTGGATTGTCTCATCTTACTGCATGGACTTGAGATGGAAAACGATTCCGGTCGGGAAACACACAAGTGGCACACGTGTGTGTGAATAAAGTGATTATACGAGATTTACATGGATGATTATCTCTTTTGGGTGGGGGCAGGATACAGGGTTGTTATGGTTTAGGCCTAAAATACTCCCCCCCCAAGTTCCATGAGGGGTCTTTTCCCCCCAGTTTTTTTTTTTTTTTTTTTTTGAGACAGGGTCTCGCTCTGCAGCTCAGGCTGGCCTTGAGCTCACTTTGCAGCCCAGGCTGGTCTCGAACTTGCAACGATCCTCCTGCCTCAGCCTCCCGAGTGCTGGGATTACAGGCGAGAGCCACCACTCCCGGCTTTCCCCCAGTTTTACAATATTAATTTTACTGGTACATTTTAGATATTCATGAGGGGGCTCCAGGATTGGGCCGCAGGGTTTCTGTGACCATCAGTGGGTGGACCCAGGGGTGAGCCCCTGCGCTGGTGGGAGGCGCAGCTTGGCTGGAGGCGGCTCCCAGGGGTCCAGGAGGATGCCTGGCCCTGGCTCCTTCCCCTCCCTGGGCTGAGCAGTTTCCTGCCTCTGATCCTTCCACCACGAGGTCCCGCCTTGGAGCCAGTTTACCTCTGAAACCCACGGGCCAAAATACGCTTCTTTTAAATTACAGGTATTGGGTACTTTTTCCCCTCAACATGGGGATCAAACCCAGGGCCTTCACACTGAAGCCCTTTTTCTTGCTTGTTTTGAGACGGTGTCTCCTTACCTCACTGGATGGTCCAGGTTGAGCTTGGACTCTCAGGGCATGCGTCACCCTGTATGAAGAGTATTTTTAAAAATTAAGTTTATTGGTACATTGTAGGTATACATGGTGATCACATCCATCATAGGGAGTTTGTGCTTTTACGCGATGTATCTCGATTCTTTTTCCCCCAGTCTCATCCCCTCCCTTCAGCTCCGTTTATGAAGAATGTTTCGTATTAGTGCAAGTACCAGTTCCACTTAGGCTCTCTCTACTTCGTGATGGCAGAAGGCACACTCCCACCACAGGGCTTTGCACTTTGAATTCTGTGTTAAGTACCACGCGAGATCGCCTGCCCCTTATTATAAAACGGGTTTTGTACTAGGTGGCTTGGGCCAACTGCAGGTTTGTAAAAATGCTCTGAGTACATTTAAATTAGTCTGGACCAAGCAAGGCTGTTCGCTGGGTTAGCAGAGCTGATGCATTTTGAATTAAGATATTTTCAACATGTGAGTTATACTCAAAAATATATGGTGACAAAATATATATGGTGATGTCTATATACCTGTTCCCCAGCTCTTCCTGTTCCCCAGTAAACTTTCTACAGTAACTCCTCTCGTCCTTTGGAATTTGTTCTTTGATTTCAGGGGAAACAAACTTAGCACATCTGACATCTAGGAGGTTCTTGCTATGTAGCTCAGGCTGGTCTGGAACTCGAAGCAATCCTCCTGCCTCAGCCTCTCGAGTGCTGGGATTACAGGCGTGAGCCACCACGACCGGCCTTCATAATAAATTTAAATAAAAAAGAAAGGAAAGGAGGAAGTGGGGGTTAGCGGTGCCTGGTGCCCACAAGCGCCGGTTGTGATGGGATCTGAGAAGATGACCGGATGCTGACTCACGAGGCTCGAAAGTGGTTTTTTAATTTTTTTTTATTTAAGGAGAAAAGAAAAAAAAAAAAAACAGTGAAAGGGTACAAGTTATACAGATTTACAGAAGAAAAAAATGAACAGTAGGAAATCACTAGTTAATGGATTACATATTGCTATCTTAGAAATAATTGTTCAAGTCACAAAATTAAAGCTTGTAGAGTGGACATTCCAACAATGATACTGCAAACAGTTCTGTTCAATGATCCAATAAAACTCTGTGATATCATTTTCTATCTTATACACTTAAATATACATGCAGTTATATAGTTTAGAGCACTTTCTTTTCCTCTCTTTTGTACAGTGACTATTACACATTTTGGGTTTCATTGCTCCCACGGTTCTTATTGCTTTTTTGGAAGAGAGTAAAACCAAATGTGACATAACAGAACAGAATCGGTCAAGTCAAAAGGGTGGACATAATAGATAATGTAAAAACATAATACAAGGTGATCATCAATGGTTACCATAATGCCTCCCGCTATCTCTAATAGAATTGCCTGTATCATTAGTTATAATACAATTGAACAAAACAGTAAAGAACAAAACCGACAAAACCAAAGCATTGGAGACATTGTAGGCCTTCAAAAGTAGATAAAAGTCAACGAGAATGGGCGTTATAATGAATCTCATTATCTTCACAGCTGATGCCTAAACTTTCGAACCTGATACTATCCAGCAAAACAGAATAGGGGAACATCAGTCAAAACAAGATGGTGAGAGCAATACAGGGCTTCAAATCGAGATAATAGAAAGTCAAAGTGGGTTACTATATTATATCCTGCTATTTTTTTCCTTTAATTAAACGGATAAAAATAAAAAAGTAAATAATGGAGTGGAGATTGAGAAAAAAGAGGGCATAACAGCGAAACAGCGCAGATCAAAACATAAGCATTTAAGCAGAATAGTGTTTCACCACCAGATAATTCCGACCCAAAAGTAGTAGTTACCATATTGACTCTTCGAAAGTGGTTTTGTGAAGCAGTTTTCAGTGATGTGAATGGGCCGGGTGGCAGCCCAGAGGCTGTGTGCATGAGCAGCAGGCAGCGTTGGAGCGGCCTGTACGTTGCTCCTGTTTTATTTCTCTCTCTGCAGAGACAGCCTGAATAGACGACATCTTTAAAAATTCACAATTTGAGAATAATCTAAAGTTTAATAGCCAGGGACAGCTGGGCGCGGTGATGCACTAGGATGTCATCCCAGCACTGTGGGAGGCTGGTATAAGCTTCTGCCTGGCAAGCACAAGGTCGTGAGTTAAAAATAACCCCAGGAGGCTGGGATATAGCACAGCACCACAGGTGCCTTCCTGGCAAGTGCATGGTCCTGAGTTCGATTCCCGGTACCCAAAAACAACATGAAGAACACTCATATATTTTTTCCTTTGGATTCATCTTTTGTTTGTTTTTCTTGAGATCTGGCCCTTGCTCTGTAATTCAGGCTGGCCTTGAACTCATGGGGATCCTCCTGCCTCAGCCTTCCAAGAACTGGAAGGATTCGTAGGTATGCACCACTGTGCCCAGTGATCCTTTTGACCCATTTGGTTTGTGGTTTGCCCCCATCCCTACCCCATCCCTCTGTTTCCATATCATCTTAATCTTTGCCTTTGACCACTTCCTGTGGTTAATATTTCAGGCCAGGGATTTTTTTTTTTGTCTATTTCCTTTTTATCGGTATCAGGTATCGAACTCATGACTGCCTGCTTGCAAGGCAGGCGCTTATGCCGCTGAGCTAAATCCCCAGCCCCAGGCCAGGGATTGTTAAGAACACGAGAAGAAGAAACTTGACTCTGGGTTGAAGCTCTGGAGGGTTGGCTGGCAATGCCCTCCTGGCTGGCAGAGTCTCAAGGCAGGGCAAGGTTGCCTGTCTGTCTGTCTGGCCTCCCTCCTCTTCCTGTAGAGCTGGGGTTGGAACCCAGGGCCTCATCCATGATGGGAAAGTGCTCTACCACTGAGCTACACCCCCAGCCCTTTTCATTTTGAGCCAGGGTCTCTTTAAAGTGTGCAAACTGGGTTTAAACTGCCATCCTCCTGCTTCAGCTCCCAGAGTAGCAGAATTACAGGTGTACACTGCCGCATCTCTGACAAATCTACCAGGATTAAATCACAGGGTCCTGCTTGGTTTGAACCCGAATCACTTCCCAAGGCCAAATCTCTAATCCCCGTAAGAGGATTCATACCTTGCAATGGGATTAAATTCCTGCAGGGCTTCAGAGGAGCAAACTCTGTCCAGCTGTAGCGCTCTCTGGATGCCTTTCTTCCTTCCCCTTCCCGCTGTGGGGTTTGGTTTAGAAAGTTCCACATAAAAGGAGTCTGACGAGATCAGGGTTATTGAGAAGCAGAACCAGGGGAAACGACAGCTGCGGAGGCCAGGGCGGGTCTGGAACTTCCACATGTAGTGTGAGCGGATTTAAGGAACATCCCGGGGGCATTTGTCAAGGTGATTTCTGAGAGAGAAACAAGGTGTGTGGGGTTGGGGTTCCTCTGCTCTGTCCCATGCTT